GTGACCTTCTAATATAAAAAATTTAAAAAAAAAAAAAAATACTATTCTCCACTCCCCTCATATCTTGGATAGAAAGAAAAGTATAAACTTGTTATTAAACATTGTAATATAGGATCATTTGTAATTCTTTTCCAGAAGAATCAAAAAGGCCATAATTCCATCTTATTTGTTACTCAACTTATGAGTGAGCTAAATTTTTTATATTCACTAAAAGGCAAAGTATTGTTTGAAGGATGCAAACTTCAAATAACAAATGACAAGAAATGTTCACCTACCTACGGTGGACACATTTTAATATGTCCACCGCGTAGGTGACATACACTCATTGGTTATGTTAATATGTTTAAAAAATACATCACCAATGAATGCATGCCACCGATGTTGTGGACATATTAACATGTGTCCACCGTGAGTAAAAGAGCATTTCTGAACAAATGACTACATATTTTTATTGAATTGAATTTTTTATTTTTTTTTTTTTGGGATACAATATTGAATTGAATTTCAACATTTATGAAAGTAAAAAGTTCAAAAATCAAAACCTGATAATAAGATGATCAAATTCCCTTTCCATGTGGATTTGTCTTTTCATCATCACCTTACTGCTCCAAGTGAATAAAGATATTGTTTAATTTGTTCCCAACTGAAGTACTTTTGCATGGCGTGATCTCAATTAATCGAAACCGACTGTCAAACCCTAATGATGAAGAACGTGTATTGGAACTCAGTTTTGTGTAAGAACTCACGCTAATGGTCATGGTTCGAACACGATAAAAGTGAAAACCGACACTAAGGCCGTCGGTTTAACACGAGGAATTTGCTCGAAAGAGAGCCTTTTTGTTATTTGTTATCTCATAATAATCCCAAATGAAGCGTACATAATTCTTTTAAAGACAAAAAACCAACCAACCTGCTACCCTGTCTTATGCAAATTCTAAAGCAAAGCCAAATAAACTGTAAAAGAAACTACCATAACCTATCTAATTGTTGCAAACTGCCATGCCACGTAACTGTTGCAATATTTTGGCCCGTTTTCCTCGAGCGGTTTAGCTAGGTTTCTCGGTTCTCATCATTCCTGACCCCTTCAAGATTATCCTTGTCCTCAAGGATGAAAATCAAAATTGCTCATGAACCCAGTTTTGCACGTTACCTCACTCTTGCTCGTTTTTCTAATTCAACGTAGACGACAAACCTTCCCAGAAGACAAGGACTCCGGAGGAGGAGTCATGTAAACCTCCTCAGATAAGCCACCGTGCAAGAAGACATTTTTGACATCTAGCTGTAGAAGAGACCATCGACAAACAACAAGAACAAATAAACACAGAACAGTAGTAAGACGAGCAACTGATGCAAAAGTCTCTTCATAATCAATGTCGTACTCCTGTGAGTACCCCTTAGCAAGCAGACGAGCTTTGTAGCGCTCAATAGATCCATCCGAATGTGTCTTGATCTTATAAACTCATTTGATCTTATAAACACATTATTGGTAATTCAAGAATGGAATATATGGATAAAATGATTGATAGTAATGATAAAAACATTCGAATTTAGAATTAAACAATAAAATTGTCCTTGAACTGCTTAAAAAAGTGATGAATGAAAACAAACAAATAATAAATAAAAGAACATAGGAAATATAGAAAACAATTAAAATTATCAAATAAAATTGAATAATCATTCTACGAAGTTTTTTCTGCTCTACATTGTTTTAGCATATTTATCACAAAAGCAATCTTGTAGGAGAATAAAGAGGTGTAACTGAGCCACCAAGCTCGTCATCGTGATACTCCAGCTCAAGCTTGACTCATTAAGAAATGAGCTCAAGCTTGCTTGTATATCAATAATAACGATTCAAACTATATATAAACAATAACATAAAATTCTTATTTCCAAGCATCTCGTTAACTAAACAAACCCGACTCTAAATGAGCCAAGCCGAGTTCACGAACGTTCGATTCGCTTAACAGTTCTATTGAATCATCTAACCTCCTTAAACAATGGGAGTATTAGTGTTCATTAATCCTTCCATGAAACTACAAAAAACTGTAAATAAGTCGAGCCGAAATCGAGCTCAAGCCTTATAAACCCTTTGTATTTTTCATTCTTTATGCTACATTACATAACTAAAAAACACTCACATCCTAAACAAGAAAACCAAACATGGAACAATAATAATAATAATAATAATAAAAAAAAAGCAAGAAGAATAATTTCACCGTGGCTCTATGAATTTGGGCTTCATCTACAGATAATGCTTTGAATCTCTCAACTTGTGCTTCAAAACCAGCTTTTGTTTCCCCTGCTTTTGCCCTCTCAATGAAGCCGCTGCTATTGAACTCGAGGATTAAACTGCTTCGGTTGTCTCATAAGGCACTGCACAATAGTAAAGAATGTGTATTTCATAAAATTTCTTTTTTATACAAAATTCATAAAATTTCATTTATATAAAAACTTTAACAGAGGTACCTCACTAATATTAGATCGTAAGTGAACGACCAACTAAAAGAAAGAAAATGAATGAAGGTTTGAAGAGCTTAGTACATACTTGTGCTAAGGAAGAAGGCATTAGCATTAGAACGATTACAGAGGCACTCCAGGCCGACTACAATACAAGTCATGAGCGATAGCGAAGCCAAGCCGTATCGGATAGGCTTTTTTATGTCGAAAGCCCCTTTCTCTAATAATAAGCTATCTTATAGCAGACAACTAACGCAAGCCTAACGGCATGAGCCTAATGGTCTCTCTCGCGCTGCCCAGGAAAAGGACTACCTGTTGGGTAGGAGTGCCCGATTACTAATACATCTGCTCCTGCTATGAGGGGGGAGGGCACTCAACAATCTTTGCTGCTGCTGATTCTTAGAGATAGCAGTGGCAGCTTTGTCCACATATTTACGGTCTTCAAACATAAAAGCAGTCAGTAACATGGCCATATTTCCTAAAAGTGTCTTGCTTTAGTCTGTGGCCACTGAAACCCATATTTTTTAAAACTGTCTTGCTTTAATTCCATGGCCCATCCACTGAAACCGACCATTTAATTCATAAAATCGTCTTACGCATTTTGTTGTTTGTCATTCAAGACAAGATCTTTTTATGACCATTTCAAAAAAAATCAAGCTGATCATAAGACTTCATTAATGCAGGATAGTTCAACAAAGTTTTCTCTTTGTTAAGCCTACACAAAAGTACGAACATTCAAAAAAAAAATCCTGTTAACAATAATTATGCATTAAAAAAATTAAACTATCAAATATATCTACAAAATAAAAAGTTACCTCGTCGACAATACCATCTTCCGTGTCAAGTGCAAAAGAATATACGAACACACATATCGATCATGTATATTCTGAGTTATAATCTTATCTAGGTTCTTAAAATCTTTTCTCTTCCCGTCTTCCGACTCGGGAATATAGTTTACCTTATACACTACTCCATTTTCCATCACAAAATTGTTCATGTGGAGCGAGAAAACACATTTTTCACCATCCCTATTATGGAACTCAATTAGCCCGGCTACCATGTCTCATATTATTCTCATGTACTTCACGGGAGTATAGCGATATGCGACATTGGAATAGTAAACGTCATCTTAGGTTCGTATTCACTGGCCTTCAGTTGTTGGATATAAGAACAGAGAGTGCAGTTCTCACTATTCATATACGATGACATTACTTTCAGCATAAAAAAAAATTTCCACACAAAAGGTATTTGCTGTGTGTCGGGGAATATAATTGTTCATCCTTAGTACGACCCTTTTCCAATGGAACGATGTGGACTTTCACTTGTCTAATTACTAATATTTTAGATACTTTTAAATATTATTTGTATAAACTTTTTTACACATTTAATCTCTGTATATATATACATATATGGAGGTTAAATGAAGAATTTTTAAACATGTTTTTCTTACGGGTAGTTTAGAAAAATTTAGGTAGCTTCAAACATTATTTGTGAATAATATAGAATATTTTAGATGCTTTTATAGATGTTATAAAATATTTTAAGTATTTTTAATATTTATATATCACACTTAGAAAGAATATTTTGAAAAAAAAAACATTAAATACACATTGTAAATATTAATAGAAATTGTTTCAGTGTTCGTCTTTGATCTCAATTACATATAAAATTTATTTTTATTTGTCACATAATTTTTTGTGTACATTAATCTCGATTTGTATTTGTAAAATTGATAGTTTTTGCATTAATTTCAATTTGTATTTGTAAAATTGATAAATTATTAAGCGTACAAAATCCTTTTTATGGTAACTTAAAAAATGATAGTAATTTTTGAAATATTGTGTAGTCAAATCTTCAGATGGAAGTAACATCATAATAATGGTATCTTATAAATCTTCTCTAAAACAACTTTAGCATGAGATAATGTCTTTATTTAGGCTTATCTATATATATAATTACTAGCTCTTCTACATTTAAAAAAACCTCATAAATTATACCTAGGTGGCACTTTTACATTTTCCCTCCAAAAACCGTTACTTTTCATTTATTTAACCTAATTAATAGATAATCAATACACTAATCAATTTAAAATACAAAAATCATTTTGAACTTTTGATGACTAACAGTTAACCATATAATGTGTTACCGTATAATGTGATTAGGTATTATTATTGTGGTTACATGTAAATTATTTTTTTTTGGAAAATAAAAAAAGTATATGAAAGTCCTAAATAAATTATAAATAATTTTTAAAAAAATACATACCAAAATTTACGTTACATCCAATCTAATGAACGCAATTTAAAAAAAAAAAATCAACTCCTTTAATTGTAAATTTGGCTGAAAAAACGTGAAAGAAAAATAATTAATCATTATATGAATGCATATAACTCACAATATTTTATTTACATTTGTGCAAATGCACAGGTAGAATACTAGTAATATTTTCGATACTTAAACAAAATGTTTAGACATATTTTTTTTCATATTCTATCTATATGTACATATATATATATATACTCACATATACGTAACACGAGTAATGCTCACCTACCCACGGTGAGCACATGTTAATATGTCCACCGCTTATGTGGCATGCACACATTGGTGATGTTAATATGTTCAAAAAAATACATCACCAATGGGTGCATGCCACATAAACGGTGGATATATTAACATGTGCCCACCGTAGGTAGGGGTGCATTACTCTACGTAACACATGTTAAGTTAATTATATTTAAACAAGTTTTCTATACAAAATAGTTTAAAAAATCTTACATGCACATCTATATTTATATAAGGTATTCTATTTACTAGAATTAGTAGTAAGAAAGGTCAAAAGTAATTAATGCATTCTATTTCCATCAAGTATTTTATTTAATTAATTTAGTTAATTGTTTTATCTCATAACACATTTTCAATACAACTTCCATGATTTTTCTATTGTGATTAAAAACCAAATTTTACGTTTAAAATCTTGTGAAATTATTATTATTATTTTTATAAGGCACATAATAGGTACTCAAGCAGGTACTTAGTCATCGGTCAAGTATGCAGTTGTTGGACCAAGCACTTGTTCGTTCCTTTGGGCTCGAGGGAAATCTTCCAATCGACTACTCGGCGAATCAGACATTCTCAGATCGAGGGGAAGGAAAGGCTTTGAGCTCCTTCTTCGTATCTCGAAGCAGTAACTAAGCCGAAAAGTGGAACTCCTCATTTGAAGCTTTCATTAATGCCGAGCTGGAATCCGGGGTCTCAAGATCAAGGAATGAATGGGAACTCGCCTTCAAGAGTGGATTTCCTTCTTCCGACCTTGGGTATCAAGCCCCAGCCCAAGACTCAACTGTCATCTGGTCAGTTTGCCGAAAGAGCCGATCTCCTGATCTCCAATTTTGCCGAATCGTAGTTTAGCTACTAATCTGAAAAGCGCAATTTCGGATGGGATGTAGGAATGGTCACTTACCCGGTGGAATCTCTGAGTTGGGTACCGCACGGCCAGTTCTGGGCAAGAGCTTCTTCTTCCGATCTCGAGAAACCGCCTTCCTCAACTCCTGATTTTTGTTAAAAAATTGTATATATATAATACACATCACAGTACTATGGTGGATATTTAAATTTCAACCGACCAAATTGCCAATGATTTAAATTTGAACACATCTATGCATTTGACCAAATGTCTGGATGACTTAAAATTGAGCCCATCAAAATTTATTTAAATTTGAACACACCAGAACTTTTATGTACTTTTTATTTATAAATATATTAAAAGTGGTAATTAATGGTTGTTATATAAACGACTTTAATATATTTGCAATGAATAAAAGTTTGAATGAAAAATTTGTAATGTTATTCATTATGTTTGTGACTTATGAACACATAACTACATACATATTTGACAGAGGGCACGTGATTAAAAGAGTTGGAAAATAGATAATAACATTATTACTTTTTAGACTTAAACGGCCAAGGCTGTGAAAATAACTCATTTAATATCTTTGTCCCGTGCATCGCACGGGGTACGTACTAGTTAACAAGCAAAGAGAAATGCACACTCAAACGACAATTAATAAATAATGGAGAGAGTATTGATTAATTGGATTCAAATGAGAGTCTAATTGCGTGATTGTGTTAGAATATTTTCTTAGTTGGTTTGTCTTGCAATTGAGCTTTGTAAGATCCCATAATCTAAGCAACCTAAGATAATGAAGCGTGGTGTTACAAATAGAGCTGTCAAAAAAGCATGCGGCCCGCCGGCCGGCCTGCCCCCCAAGCTAAAGGGGCGGGTTGGCTCTAATTTTTCTAAGCCCGCCAAGTAGCGGGCCTAAATGGGCCAAATGCGCGTTCTGCGCCGAGGCGGCCTAGCCCACGGGCTGGCCCGTTAGTTTAGAAAATAAAATTGTATATATTTATATATAAGAGACCAAATATTAGCATATTACCGTCAGGGCCTTAACTCTCCATCATCATCCTGTCCACCATGACTTCAAAATTTAGGTTAGATGGCTTTAGCCCAACTAGCAATTAGTGGTACATAAACCCAAGATTGAAGAAGATTTGAAAGTGAACCTACCAAAATAAAAGAAGCCCAAATCTATCTACTAACCAAATTAATTACATGTCCAGCAAAAACAGAATCTCACCACTCTCGACTCTCGTCATAAATCTCAAGTTCTCAATTCTTATCACAGTAACCTAATCGCCCAAACTCATAAAACTTATCTGAATCTCAAGTTCTCAGAGCACTCACAATACTTTGGGTCTCTTCGAAAAAAATTACATGACATGTAGGAAATAGACCTAGTCTATAAAAAAGTGTTTCCCATGCAATTAAAAGTGAACCTAGTCTAGCTTATCTGGCAATAAAAAAAAAAAGAGACCTAGTCCACACTTGGGTCTATTTTAAACCCAAGTACAAACCCAAGCACTCATCATTTATTTCTCATTTAATTTTTCTTCTAACAAATGAAATATATTAAAGCATTTTTATTGGTTGTCATGTATGCTAGACCTAGTATTTTATTTTTGCATTGAATAGCTTTTGAGTTTTTTTACTTGGTTTGTCTATGTCATTTAGGACTTAAGTCTATTTATATGCCACATATGTAAAATTAGACTCAAAGCATTGTGAGTGTTCTAAACTCTTAACTCATAAAAATTATTG